AATGTAAGTAATAATTTTACAATTGAAATAATTCTCTTAACAAATGATATAATCAAGACAAGTGTTTAGAGAGTGAGGATAACACTTTAATAGATATCAAATAGTAAAGTTCAAGCGTTTTGTTGTAAACTTTGATGAATGATGGATAATGAAATAGTTTGTATCTTTGTATTAAAGTTTTCAACCAATGATTTCTCTTAACAAATAATACAAGTTAAGTATGAAGAGAGATTTACACTTCAATATAAGTATTTGCCAATAAAATTTTTATCAAGAATAGAGAAATAGATGAGATTGAGAAGTTTTCTTGTAAAGTAGAATTCTTAATGAAATAGATGAAACTAGTTTTAATCAATCAAGAGATTCTTTTAATAAATAAAATATAGTATATAATCAAGTAAGTTCAATGATTTTCAATAAATAAACTCTCTTAATTGCTCTTATAGGTTGTTATGGCTATTAATCAAAAGATTGAAAATCAGGAAGTTTCGGTTAATCAATTTCAGTCGACCGAAGTGTGAATATAGTCGTTGTAGAATACAAACAGTTGGAGTTTCGGCTGACACTTCGGTCGATCAGATCGGTCGACCGGTGAGTTTCGGTCTACCGATAATGGTCGTTTGAAATTCTGTAAGCATAATGCAAAAAGGGTAAGCTGCAAATCCGATGAGCAGCATTTCGGTCGACCGAAGTATGTTTGTTTTGATAGTTAATATTTACATCAAAAATGTTTATTTTTTCAAAACTTATTTTCATATCAAAAACATCTTTATGCAAGTGATGAATTTATAAGAAATAGTTTGAGCTTTATGCATTTGCTAAAACCGATGAGTTATACCTTTACATATAAATCGAAGCAACTTCTAAAAACTCTAGTCTTCAAAGTTCTTGTTCTCTTCGAGTTTCTTTTGCTTGCTTGTTCTTCAACGGATGACGATTTGAGCGTTTGAATGCTTATAAAGATTTATTCATGAAAAACTCGAGAAACAAGATTTGTTAGAAATATAAGTGTATTGTTTGTTATAATCAAAACAAGTAGAGCTATATTGAATCATAGGTCAACATTTTCCAACCCCAAGCCTCAAGTGGGGGGAGCGACTGCAAGGGTGGTATTGCATTAACCTCAGGGGCTTGCAATCTCCCTTCATTTTGGGGACTCCAACCTCTATCAAGAACTGGAAGTCATCTTGGTTTTAGGTTAGGGGTCGATGGTAGACGATGAAGGGAGATGCAGTTCCAAAGATAACCGTGTCGACTCAGTATCACGAGTATAGTGAGTGTATCCCTAGTTACAGTAATGTTTACTTTATGCCATTACTTTTGATTCTTTGTTTTTGATGTGTGCTTTGTGTAGCTACAGTTAATCGGTTTGAACTTGAACCTTCGGAATAGGTCATTATAAGGGCCATTTATGAGCTACCTATAAAGAAGAGGCACTTCAAGAGTACAGTTTCCAAACAAAGCCTCTTCGTTACACACCACCTGATGACTACCACGTGTGGTCTTTAACTTATCGTATGAGTAACAAGTTCTATATCTTGATTTCTAGTAAATTTTCACTCTCATGTTTGTATTGCATAGTTTGGAAGGATAGGAAAAACTGGTTATCATTGTTTGGGAAGGATCACCATACAAGGTATAGCTAGATTTTGTCAATGAAAATTAAAGATTCACTAAACACATGTAAAACGATTCTTGAGCAAGGTGATTCAGGCAATTTGGAGACTTTAACAAAAAATTTATGTGGTTCTTTTAAAAAATTACATTAATAAAAATACATGGATCAAAGGATTAGTAATTGGAATCTCACATACGCTTTATTATCGATGATTCTGATGAAAATCAAGTGAGCACCGAGTATCATCGACGAGTTACTATAAAAAATTAAAAGTGACAATATCATCGACAATAGGACAAAGAGATTTAGTCGCGTATTTCCGGTGAAGAAGATGGTGTAATTGAATTTTTTTAAGAAGTTATTGACAAAATATTTCATTGGTAATTTAAGATATTTTTTACTCGTTTATCTTTAATATTATTGGCGGTCAAGTTATTTTTTAAAATGATATTTTATTCATGAGGAAAAGTTTTGGTTGTTAGTATTTATGTAATCGAAGTCGTTGTATCATACTCAATGTCCACTTTAGGAGAGCGTCTGACCATCTTATTCCTCACGAATATCATATATAATATAATGATTTGAGTACAGAGACTTCAGTAATTACAATTTAACAATTATATTTTTATTCTTTTTTTATATGAAGTTTAAGTCTGTAAATAAGGTTTAATTGTCATTTATCCTATGTTTGATTCATTGTTTCAATGAATTTTATAAATACTTTGATCAAATTACCTTCTATTCACATATTTCATAGAACCTACCACTACTACCAATTTCTAAACTATTCATTTATCTTTGTCCATAAATACTCTTACATATATGAAAGTGGTCCTTCAAGTCTACAACTATAAATGGAGTTTTATTGTATAGTATATACTATATACATTACACAGGACCAAATGCAATGACTCTTAAGAAAGGAAAAGACCACCTACCTACGTTTGTTAATCGTAATACATTTTAGATTTCAATCTCTTTTTCTTTTTTTTTTTCGGCTTGTTAACATCTTTTGAATGTGCTACTTAGAGTCCGTTGGCATAACTTTGAAAAGTCAAAAGGAGCTTATGAGATTCAAAAGTTGCTTTTGAAACAATTTTGCTAATTTTATGAGAGTGCTTCTTCGATTAGAAGAGATCTTAGAAAAAATTGGTGCAGTGTGACTTACTTTAAAAGGAGAGGAAGTTCTTTTAAAAATTAATTTCCAAACAAAAATATAAATAACTTCCTCTCGAAATTTCTTCGACAGAAAGTAAAAGCAAAAATCATGTTTAGACCCTTAGTTGTTCAAATTGTGACATGGATTTCACGTTATGAAATATTAAATCAATATTAGTATGTTACTAATAATTTTAAAATACAATACTTATCCGTCAATGTAAATAAATTAAAAAACTTCAAAAGTAACATCTTTTCCTTTTATAATTAAAACCTCATTACAAAATTTTGTTATATATAAAAATCAAACTGTCTTGTCTTATTTAAGTAATAATATGATCTATTAACTAATAATTCTCGACAATTAATTTTCATGATTTTTGTTTAATGACTTGGCATTGCAAGTTTCTCAAACAAAATAAGTGCGGATTTATAAAATCTTTTATTTTTTGGTATTTGGTCGTGTAAATGTCACTTTTACACTAATATAAAAATAAAAATAAATAAAATATTTATTCGCATATTTTTAAAAAGAGTAATGATATTCATAGTCGCTCAATACAACAGTCGCCTTATGTGACATACACATGTCAAGTGTGTATTTGATGCATATTACCACATTAATGCATCAAATACACACTTGACATGTGTGTGCTCCTCATGCTACAGTGAACGACTGTATATAACATTATTCTTTTAAAAATGCTCATCTTCAAAAACATTCAATGTCACACTCCGTGTCAACTTGATTTTCTTGAAATAGTCACCTAATATTTTCAGAACGACAAATTTAAATGGATTATAACTTCAAATAATGCTTGAAATTAAGAGTATGTTTAATATAACTTTTTTGAGAATAAATTTTAAAAAGTAAGAAATTTTTTTGAAACGTACAAAATTATTTCACGAAGAGAATGAATGATTTAAAATAAAATTTTTATTTTTTTTTCAAAGAATTGGTTAAAAAATTTGAGCTAACCACCGCCTTCCAATCCATAATAAATGATTTGACTCTGGTTTTTATTGCCGCAACCTATCTATATATCTATACTTAAGGCTCTCTCTCATCCCAATTATGGGTTCCCCAGTGGACCCGGCCCATACCGCGACCGACACAAAAGAATGGCAGAGAGAAAAAATCATTGAATTGTAAGGTTAGAGTAGTCATTTTAAATCGACCGAAGCTCAAAATTCTCCCCCTCATTCTCTACTAGGTTTTCCATGCCATTTAGCTCATGAGCTCCATATTTTTTTCAAAATATATTTTATTGAAAAATGTATGATTAAAAAATAAGAAAAAATTTTAAATTTGTTTATAATATTATTTTTATTGAAGAATATGTGGTTGAAAATAAAAAAGAGAAAAATGTATTTTAAAAATAATAGTACCAAACAATGACTTATTTTATTTTAATGAGTATAAAGAACAATATTATAAGGATATAGATACTTGGCCATTCGGGGGGGCGATGTGGCCCCCTATTAGTTGGGGATCTGTCTGGCCCCAATCAAGTAGCGCGGTTCATATTATAAACCCTATTTTGATTTTGAAACTTTAATTTGTTCATTGTCGTCTATTTAATTAGATTAGGATAGAGAACAATGTTAAACCCCATAGTCGGTCTATTCTTCGCTAAAAATGTGGTCAGGGTTCATTTTACTTTACATTCCATGTGTTTAAAGTTAACTAAAATCCTAGTTTGCTGCAAAATTAATCAACTTTGGTTGTTAAAAATGATGAAATTTCACGTTCAAGTCATATTGAAGAAATAAAATAAGCAAGAATTTCGTTACGTTTTTGTATAAACTATACATTAACATTCTTCGATAAGATGAATTAGTTTTGGTGTTTTAAAAATTATGAAATTTTATGCTTAACTCATACTAAAGAGAAGAAAAGTAGAGGGGAAGTAAAGATGAAGATGGGCAATTTGAGGGTCTTTAATAAAATAAATTTATAAATGCAATTAAAATTATTCTGCTGACGTCACGCAACTAACAACCTAAACTAATTTCAGTGCGAATCCCAACACATACAGTGACAGCAAGTCACAGAACATAATGTACCCCCCAATGAAAAGACAAATGACACAAACGTCATTTCACTAACATCGGAGGCCCTTTCTAGTCATTTACGCACCTCTCCACCTACACTCGCTCGTACTAAAAGCTCCTCCTTTTTTCTTTCTGCAAACTCACACTTCAGCAAGTTTCTCACACTAAAATGAACGTTCGAACCGGGTCGCACCAGCTAAGCAATGGACTCTACGTTTCGGGTCGACCCGAACACCTGCTTAAGGAGCGCCAGCCGACGGTGGTTTCACGCGCCGTTCCCTACACAGGCGGTGACGTAAAGAAATCCGGCGAGCTAGGAAAAATGTACGGAATAGATTTATCGCGTGGCGACCACCCGCCGGCTCCGCCTAAAGTTCCTTCCCGGCATTCTTCATCTTCTCAACACAATAGTGGATCTGTCAGATCCGGCCCAAACTCTGGTCCAGTTAACAAGAAGTCTTCTTCCTCCTCGTTCTCAGGGCCCATTACGCCGATTCAGCCCACGGGCCTCATTACCTCCGGCCCATTGGGCTCCACCAGCTCCAACCGCCGATCGGGAATGCTGGACAGTCCGTCTGCCGCTCATAGTTCGTTTAAGAAAGCTCTGTACGGCTCGGCAGTAACGAGCTTGGGGGAGGAGGTGAAATTGGGCTTCAAGATTTCGAGGGTGGCAATGTGGGTGTTCTTGGTGGTTGTAGTTATGGGCTTGGTGGTGGGTGCGTTCCTTATGGCAGCGGTGAAGAAGCCGGTGACTTTGGTTGCAGTGGTGGCAGTTTTAGTCCCTGCCGTGGCGGTTTTAATATGGAATTATGCTTACAAAAAGCGGGGGATTCTAAGTTTTCTGAAGAAATACCCGAATGCTGAGCTGCGAGGAGCCGCTGATGGGCAGTACGTCAAGGTCACCGGGGTAATTTACACTCGAGCTTGTTAATTCTGTATTTGGTTTCAATTGCTAATTTTGTATAATTGTGGACTGGTGATATTAATTAGTTAATACTTTAGTGTTATTTTAATCAACAGACTGTGCCACGTGACAGACTGAAATTATATGTGAAAATGATAATACTGGTTTCTGGAACTAATTGAAAGCTTGTGTGTTTGTTAGAGGCTAATTTTCTTCAGGTCCATCCCTCACTTTTTTTTTTCCTCGTAAGCAGTTTCTATATAAAATTGAAGATAGTGAATAAATAGGATAATAATTGAGTATGCCATATTGACTGGTAAACATGAGCTTGCTGATTTCATACAAATGTTGTTGTTGTATTAGTTCATGCATGTATCATGTGATGTCGATTCTTATAAAGCCTCCCATCTTGATCATTCTCTTCAGTTTTGTGATGACAACTATTAGACACTGAGGAGATCTGGCTTTGTTGCTATTTAATAAGGAGAAACATATTTCCACGGTCATGTGTTATTTTCAGAAAATAGTAGAAAAATTTTAACTGATGTGACATCGCCACAAAAGGTGTAACTCTGTTAAAGCTACATATAGTCATGGAGAAACATTTGCATAATACTTTCGTATTTGTTGGTTATCGTGCAATGAAGTCTTTCTACAAGCAAAAAATGTTAGCCAAGAGATGAGGTTATTGGTGTTAATTAGTGGAAAGATTCTTTGGCTAATTGGCTTGTACGTGAATCTCTTCTCCTTTGCACCTGCTTATGACCAACCTTTTTAACCTAGTCAGCTGAGGTTAAGATGGGTTCATATGTTGTTAACTGTATCATCAAACAGAAACAGAAAGGTATTTAATCTTATCCAAGCATGACCAGAATCCAGAAAATAACAGTGAGTAGGTACTGGACAAAATGTGGATATAATGGAAGATAGTTTAGTGCACTTCAAAGTTATGCTCATTTTATTGTTTATCCGGGGCGAGATTTCTTACTATTATCTGGGAAATAACAAGGATATGAGATAATCTGAAAAGATATTGAAAATGTCATGCCAAAATCTCACCATAATAATTGTAGATCATGGTAAGGAACAGTGAGAATAAATTATAAATGTTCTATCAGAAAATCGAGAATGTAATTTGTAATGTCCATTACCAGACAGGCTGTGGTGCTCCTAAGTGTTCCTGAGTTCTATGACTTCTAGCCCTGGAATTCCTATTCAGCAAGCAATAAGATAAGTGTTCAAATAATAATGCGATAAGGTAATAGAACTAACAGAGTAAACAGGATGCATACCAGATAACGCATAAGGCTTAAAAACTACTGGAATATACTGGAACTGATATTTCTTGTAAAACCTCCACCCGCCCCGGAGCTTTTTGGTTTCTTAAAAATACATTCTTCCACTGATTGGATTTTCTTTTTCCATTTTTCACTAATTAGATTGTAAATCTTTCTTTGTAGCTTGTCACTTGTGGAAGCATTCCTCTTGAATCTTCTTTCCAGAGGATACCAAGATGTGTATTTTTTTCCACGGAATTGTATGAATACAGGGGATGCGGTGGAAAATCAGCAAAACCCAGACACCCTTTCTTCTCTTGGGGGTGCAGACATTCAGAGGTCAGTTTCTGGAACTTGTGGAGCCTTATTGAAATTTTATTAGCAAATCTGTATATTTGCAGCGGCATTTTCCCATACACAACCACGAGAACCTCAATTTTGAGTAGTAAACATGTTCCTATTTTTAGATGTTACTGCTTTGAATGCACAATTGTTGTGCTGATGACGGTATTAGACTCTGGAAAGCTCTTTTGGGAGTCCCTTTGCAACCTCCACATTTTACAAATTTTAGTCATTCATTCCAGTGGATTCCATGTGTTGGACCTGTTGGTTTTAGTCTAGATGCTAGAATTTGAATGCTTTGGTGAAGCTGATGTAGAGATCTTGAATGTTTTATCTGGGTTTTAATAAGTAGCATATTGCTAGGCCTGCTGTGCTAATTTATGCATTACTTCCTTCTGTCAACAGAAGTATGTGGCGGATTTCTATATATCAGACTCTGAGTCTGGTTTGAGAGCTCTAGTGAAAACAGGCTATGGAGCTAAGGTTGCTCCATTTGTTAAGCCAACTACAGTTGTCAATGTATCAAAGGATAACAAAGAGCTATCTCCAAACTTTCTACGCTGGCTTGCTGACCGAAGTCTATCAAGTGATGGCCGTACAATGCGCTTGAAAGAAAGGTAAATTACTGACTATAGAATGGAATACTTTTTACATGTATTTGTTGCTTCAATTAGTGGCCTGACAACTTTGGACTTCTGTGCGTCCAACTACGAAATGGATTGTGAAATCTAAAAATTAATCAATAATAAGTGAGTGTTTTTATCCTGGTAATTCGACCAAATTCTGGAATCCTGTCAGTTCACTGTATTGCAGGAAATTCAGTTCTGACTTGACAATATGAAATTATTGTTGGACTTCATTTTGGCTAGAAGCTAGGAAACCACAACTACAGCTTATCCTATTCTTGGACTTCATTTTGGCTAGAAGCTAGGAAACCACAACTACAGCTTATCCTATCCACACTCCAAAGTCATAAAATTTCAGTTTTCAGTGTCATAAGAGCTGAAATATTGGAGTTTTGAATTGTTTACCTATAGAAGAGCAGTGCCTAAAGTGTTCGAGAATTGGAATTGCTATATCTACTTGTTTCTTTACCTTCTAGAAAATATCAGACCTTCTCAGGACTGGGATGAGGGTATAAAAATTGAACTAGAAGTAATCGCTGTCCATTCATTGGGTCTTTATGAAGTTCTGCTGATTTCATGCCGCATTCTTTTGCAGCTATATCAAAGAAGGAAGTATAGTTAGTGTAATGGGGGTCGTCCAGCGTCATGATAATGTACTCATGATTGTTCCACCTACTGAACCTGTTTCAACAGGCTGTCATTTGCCCTGTTGCCTTCTCCCAACATACACAGAAGGCCTTATTTTGACATGTGATGAAAGTCAGAATAGCAGTGACGTGATTCCTGTATAGATTTGTGAATTGCTTTGTAACTTTGATTTGCAAGTAACAAGTACGTGAGTGATCTTGATCAAGAGAAGGACAACACACTGCTATATTCTTCCCGGAATCTTCAAATGTATATGAATGGTGGCCTAGAGGATGACTTTTCACATGTTTAATCTGTACATGTTTCTCAGAGATCTAGAAGCGGGAGGAGTCGGGCAGCACTTTCTTGTGCTAATTACTCAGTTTTATGTCTCTATCATGTGTATAAATGTTATCAAGGGACCGATGATAACTACGGTGTGATAATGAATTTCAATCTGTTGTTGCCTGAATATGTACTACTACTTAGTGAATTACAATAACATCTTCAAATCGGAACCAGGGGGTGCTTATGCAAGTTACTCAGAGGTAAATTTTGAAACACAGGCGTAGTTGAAGATAACAGTGCTTCTTGTTTCTTTTGATTCAAGCTCAATGTTAGACAGGTTAATCTTTTAAATATCCTTTCTTTTTCACTTCATGGTTCATTATTTGAGTAATGCTCATTAACACCTGTCCCGCGGAAATTTATGAAATTAAAAGCCATATTCAATTAAGACATATAGGTCGAATAATGTTATTCATAGATAGCGACAATAATTTTCTTTAATTTTGTTGTCTCAAATAACAAGTCTTCATAATCGTGACTACAATAGTTAATCATATGTGATAATTTGTTATTTGAATCATTTATTTTCTGTAACTTTATTATCTCAAATAAGAAGTTAATAATTTCTCAAATAAAAGTTTATCACATAAGATGACAGTAATAGTTGCTAACCGTGAATGACATGCTCTTTTTTCAAAAGTGAAAATTACAATGAATATTGTTCCGTAGATATTTGTTAACTTTTTGTAAAAGAAAATTCTTTGATTTAGAAGTTGAGCCACTTTACCTTCCTTCCTTTTTTTTTTTATCCTAATCTATTTCACATTTGTTCAATTTTTGAAGTTATTTAACCACCGTTGCTCCACTTTATTAAAACTCATTTTCAATCACGCATTTATGTAAAATAATAATTTTACTTGTAAATTCAATTTTTCCTAGTTTTTAGCTACATATTCTTCAAAACACAATATTTATACACACACAATTTCACACTATTAAATTATGAGATGACAATCTCATAAGCCTCTACACCACTTTAAAAGAGAGACTAGCAAGTTACTGTTCATTCTGTTGGCTCCGTTTCACACTTGGGTATGTACTCTGGATAAACTGGTTCTCACTGTTCACTTTCATAAATTCTTATCCATTTCTTCCACTTGTTCACTTCTAGGCAGCACAATATGTTGGGAAATGTACCAAAGATAAACGTTATTCCTATTCTACGCTTAACCGTAACAGTGAATGAAAATAATTTGCAGTTATGAATTGAAGGGTATTTCTGACAATCGAACAGTTAATTGGAGGATGTAATGGTCCTTTGGATATATGTGTGAAAAATATCTTCGGCAAATGTACTGCGTTACCAGAAAACATTTCAACCCTATTTCCTTCTCTCCTAATTTCATTTCTTCTTCTTGATCGAACGCGAAAGAAAAATCTCAACAAATTCAGTTGATTATTATTGCAGCCTTTCTTCATCTTCCTATGATTTCCTGCTCCTTTGATTTTTTGTTCATTCTTGCTTTCTTACAATAAGCAAACCCTTTACCTTCCAGTGTAACAGAAATTGAGCTAACTAACTGCCTAACTAACTGACTATATTTACAACTAACACAATAGTGACACATGTAACCAGCTGTCCTAACTAACTAAACTGAACTACTACAGTTGAGCTAGGGTAATGCATTGACGTAGTGGAGCTGGATTAGTGAGTTGAGGCAATTGGAATTGTGCTGTGCTGTTGGAATTGAGCTGTGATTGAGCCGTATTCTATTACTCCCCCTTAAGATAGAGTATGGGGATTAATGACGGTCATCTTGAACATTAGAGGAAATAAAGAATTCGCAGGAAGAGGCTTACTAAAGATGTCTGCCAAATGGTGTTGTGTTCTAACCAGAAGCAGCTTAACAAATCCATCATTCACCTTATCTCTAACGAAAGTGGCGGTCTATTTCTATGTGTTTGGTTCGCTCGTGAAAGATTGGATTACTTGCAATGTGTATGGCAGCTTTGTTGTCACAAACAAATAAGAGCAAAAGCTTTTATTTTAATCTGAAAATCTCGAAGCAGTTGATAAATCCAAATGAGTTCACTAGTTATGGATGCCAAACCACGGTATTCAGGTTCAGCAGATGACCTAAAAATCGTGCTTTATTTCTTGGCTTTCCAAGATATCGTTGAGTCTCCAAGGAAGATACAAAACCTAGTTACTGATTTTCTTGTATCCAAACAAGAACCCAGTCAGCGTTTGTAAATGCCCGAAGTTGAAATGAAGAGGCAGCTGCAAAAAAAATTCGTTGCCCTGGAGCTGCTTTAATGTATTGCAAGAGGTGATTAACCGCCTTCATATGTAGTTGTCTAGACTGAGCAACAAATTGATCAACTTGTGGACAACAAAGATGATGTCTGGTCTGGAAATGGTCAAGTATAAAAGAAGACCAATGAACTTTCTATAAAGTGAAGCATCTGTAAGAGGCTTCGCCTCAAAAGAACAAAGTTTGGCCTTTGGGATCCATGGATAGTAATGTTGGTTTACAACCTAGAAAACCATTGTCCTTCAGGAGTTGTAAAGTATATTGTCTTTGAGAAAGAAAAATGCCTTTTTGTGAAGAGGCAATCTCTAAACCAAGAAAATATTTCAAACGACCAAGATCCTTTAATTTGAATAGATTGTGTAGCAAAACTTTCAAGGAATTGATGGCTTTAAATCTAAACCAGTGATGATGATATCATCTGCATAAACCAATAAAGTCATAAATGTATTGTTAGATCCTTTAGTGACAAAGAATAGTCAGATTTGGATTGAATGAAACCATGTGCAGTGAGAGCATTGGAGAACTTAGAAAATCATTGCCTTGAAGCTTGCTTTAAGCCATAGATTGATTTGTATAATTTGCAAACCAATCTCTCCCCTTATGCATTTGCAGTGCTGTGATTAGCATGCCCCAAAGGTAAATCCATATAGATTTCTTCAAATAGATCACCATTTACAAAAGTACTGTACACATCTAATTGAATAATCTGCCATTTATTAATGGCTGCAATGGTAAAAAACACCTTGACAGTGACTAATTTTGCCACAGCAGAAAAAGTTTCAATGAAGTACATACCTTCTTGTTGAGTATAACATTTTGCCACCAAACGTGTTTTATATCTGTCAACACTACCATCAGGTTTATGCTTAATTTTGAACACCCACTTGCAGCCTATGGAGTGCTTGTCTTTAGGCAGATTAACAACTGACCAAGTGTTATTAAGCTCCATTGCCTCCCATTCATCTTTGATCTCTTTTCTCTAGTGATCAAACTTTATTGCTTGATGACAAAAATGTGGTTCAAAACTAGAAGAGATGTTGAAAAGGTAGGTGCAATGTGAAGGAGAGAATTTTTTAAAGGAGAGGTATTTGCTTAAGGGATACTGAGAATGATGATCAAACGTTGTTGGAGTGTTTGTCAACAGATTACAATGATAGTCCTGTAGGTATGATGGAGTTTTGCTGATTCTATTTGATCTTCTAGCATTTGGAGTTATGGAAGGGGTTGGAGCTAAAAGATTTGGATCAGTAATTGGAGTAGAGTTCTGATGGGAATTGGGAGACACAATAGTATTGTTATGTGCCATATTGGGGGTGATATTAGAAGCCATGTAAAAGTTATTTGAGAATACGATAATATCAGAGGCTGAATTGGGTAAAACTAGATCAAGAAAAGGATCAGTCATCTCATTATGTGGGAAAAAATGAAAAGGAAAGAGATGCTCATGGAATTTGACATCTCTTGAAACAAAAAGGTTTTTTGAGACAATATCATATAGCCTATATCATTCGATGCCAGGTGGATAGCCAATAAAGACACAAGTTTTGGTTTGTGGATGGAATTTAGGATGATTGGATGATAGAGTGGATGCAAAACATAAGCATCCAAAGACTCTTAGAGAATGGTAATCTACTAGGGATTTATAAGAGAGGTAAAAAAGGAGAATTATTATGTAGGAGTGTTGAAGGGGTTATGTTGATTATGAAGGTGGCTGTGAGGACGTATTCACCCCAAAATTGGATAGGAACCCTAGATTGAAAGAACAAGGCCCTAGCACATTGAGGAAATGCTGATGTTTCTTCTCCACAACTGAGTTTTGCTCGGGTCTTTCGGCACAAGAGAATTGATGAAGAACTCTTTTATAGGCAAAAAAATGTAAATTGGAGTTCTAGAGCATTATCAGACTGAAACCTTTTAATGACCTTTTGAAATTGAGTTTCAATCAGATTAAAGAACCTAGGAATAATTGAGCTGACATCTGATTTATGTTTCCTAAGATAGACCCATGTGAAGCATGTACAATCATCAACTAATGCAAGAAAAAATTTGTATTCAGCATGTGTTAGAACATGATAAGGACCCTAAATGTCGCAATGAATAAAATCAAATGCATTTTTAGAAAGATGAGATACAAATGATAATCTTCTTTTCTTAGCTAAGGGACAAACATGACATGGAGCTGAAATGTGATTTCTATTACATGTTAGGTTCAACTGGTCCTTCATTGACTCTAACTTTTGATAGGACAAGTGACCAAGTCTATGATATCGAGATTGGTGGTCACATTATTAACAACTGAACATATTGAATTGAAGTTGTTACAATTATTTAAAATAGATCCAGATGAAGTAGCACACAATATGTAGAGACCATCCATTTTATTAGCTCTGCCAATCATCATCACGCTGTCTAGATCCTGAATAGTGCAACAATCAGTAAGAAATAGTATACTGACAGATGATTTTTTGGCTAGTGCACTAATAGATAGTAAGTTGAATTTAAAATGAGGAACATTTAACACTTCCTCTAGTATCAATTCAGAAGAGATTTTCACTAGTAAA